GCAGAGGCGAAGCGTCCTGGCTCGCCGATAGCCCCACCAAACAATGTTCTAAGAACCTTTTGTGGTTTCCACGGCATGTTCTTAGAACATTTCTGGTTGGGACTGTCTTGTTTTATCACATCGGGTTTATGTTCTAAGAACATTGTTTTTGTTCTTCGAACATTTGTGGATTCTAAGAGCACTTCGTGGTAGGACTATAGAAATGCCGGGACGGTCGGTCCCTGCTCAATTTTGGGGCTTTCTGGGAGACCCCCGTCGCCACCGCTGGATTCGCCTCGAGGTCCTGATCAGAACGCGCCCCAGGAGAGGTCCGGGGAGCCACGGTATCGGTGCATTTTGTTTCGGGGGTGGACAGAACCCCCACCCTGACTCGTCGATCAGTGAATTGTCCGTTTTCGGTTCTCGAGAGGGCGCCGCGGCCGTCATTTTCCAAGCTTGCGTCCGCTAGGTTTGGGCCCGAGGTCGTTTTCACTGAGCCACGTTTTACTAGAGGGGGCTCTGTCCATCCCCGATTGTTTACCCCATGCACCCGCTGCCGCTGTCTCCGGTCCTCCTCGAAGGGCCGAGCCAGCGTGCGTTCGCGCGCGCTCGTCGTCGACGTGGGGGCTGCCCCCTGCGGCGAGGACGGCTGCCTGTCTACCCGTCCGTCCCCCTCCTCCTTCGCCCGTCCGCCTCCCTCGCTCCTGCCGCCTCCTCCGTCCGTCCTTCCCGGAACGGGCCCGGCCAGGAAGGCCATGACATGGGCCCCCAGGAGCTCGACGACAGCTGCATCGCCGTGACGGTTTCTGCTCGGTTCTTCTTCCCTGTTTTGCCGATCGGCGCGGGCCCTTGTACCCCCCCCTCCCCGCCCCATGGATAAGATCTTGGCTGTTTTTGGCGCGCAAGCGGAGTCTTCCCCAGAGGACGCACAGTTCCAAACAGTGGCATTAAGCAGAGGTCCTGAGCTAGACCCCCCCCTCCCCCCCTTCCGCCCAGTGTCGAATTGCCGAATGAGAAAACGATCATTTATTTCTCGTCGCGCGTCGTTCTTTGATGGCCCCGAGGCCCTTTGGATTATGTTGGGCGTGTCCCCCTACAGGGGGATTTTCGACGAAAAACAACAGATACCCCCAAAATACCCCAAAAAGATCAAAAGATACCAAAAAATAGTCCCCGGATTATTTTTGGATTATTTTGGCATTATTTGGGAGTATTTTTCATTGTTCGTCGAAAATCCCCCTGGAGGGGGACAGGCCCGACTCAGCCCTAGGACAGAAGAATATCCTTTAAGAACGTAAGACCCTCCGCTGGCCAAAACACACGGAACATCCAAGGGTGCTTTCCCCAGGATGCACAAGAGCATCCAGCAAGCACGAAGAACATCAGGGTACCTTCTCCAGAGCGACCTCGATCTTATGCCTCGGTCCGGCCTGGAGGGGGGACAGGCCCGACTCAACTGTTCGACCTGCCGCCGTCCCTCTGTCCCGGCTCCCGGGCCGTGTACCCTCGGGCCCCGGGGGGGCGTCTGCCCGGGGCAGGCCCGGGCTACCCTTACGTCGGGCCGGACGAAAGGGGGGGATTGGGAAAGGGGGGGGTGCGAAATCTGCTGCATGCAGCTGGTTTCGGCCTCACCGAGGGGCCCATTCCTCGATACAGGGCCCCACTCCTCGATCATTTGTTTTTCGTCGCGCGTCGTTCTTTGATGGCCCCGCCCCATGGATAAGATCTTGGCTGTTTTTGGCGCGCAAGCGGAGTCTTCCCCAGAGGACGCACGGTTCCAAACAGTGGCATTAAGCAGAGGTCCTGAGTCAGACCCCCCCCTCCCCCCCTGCCGCCCAGTGTCGAAACGCCGAATGATAAAAGGATAATTTGTTTCTCGTCGCGCGTCGCTCTTTGATGGCCCCGAGGCCCTTTGGAGTATGTCGGGCGTGTCCCTCTACTGGGGGATCTTCGACGAAAAATAATAAATATTCACCAGCCCAAAAAGATCAAAAGATACCAAAAAATAGTCCCCGGATTATTTTTGGATTATTTTGGGATCATTTGGGGGGTATTTTTCATTGTTCGTCGAAAATCCCCCTGGAGGGGGACAGGCCCGACTCAACCCTAGGACAGAAGAACATTCTCCAAGAACATAAGACCCTCCGCTGGCCAAAACACACGGAACATCCAAGGGTGCTTTCCCCAGGATGCACAAGAGCATCCAGCAAGCACGAAGAACATCAGGGTACCCTCTCCAGAGCGACCTCGATCTTATGCCTCGGTCCAGCCTGGAGGGGGGGACAGGCCCGACTCAACTGTTCGACCTGCCGCCGTCCCTCTGTCCCGGCTCCCGGGCCGTGTACCCTCGGGCCCCGGGGGGGCGTCTGCCCGGGGCAGGCCCGGGCTACCCATACGTCGGGCCGGACGAAAGGGGGGGATTGGGAAAGGGGGGGGTACGACATTTGCCGCATGCAGCTGGTTTCGGCCCCACCGAGGGGCCCCTCCTCCTCCTCCTCCTCCTCCTCCTCCTCCTCCTCCTCCTCCTCCTCCTCCTCCTCCTCCTCCTCCTCCTTCCTCGATGATTTGTTTTTCGTCGCGCGTCGTTCTTGGATGGCCCCGAGGCCCTGTGGCCCTGCCGCCGTCCCGCTGTCCCGGCTCCCCGTGCCGTGTGCCCTTGAGGGCCCCGGGGCGGCGGCGGCCCGAGGCAGGCCCGGGCTGTCCTTACGTCGGGCCTGTCCCCCACGAAGGGGGAATATTCAAAAGTGGTCAAAAATAGCAGTTTTGAGCAGTTTCCAATACATTTTGATCATTTTTGACAATTCTTGCTGGGTAGTCGAAGGCCAGACTGTCAGGTTGGATTGGGCCCCAAGGGCCAATCTGGCCCGGCCAAACTGGACGATTTGGGTTATTCGCCAGACTGGATTCGCGTTGGCTCCCTCGCCAGATTGCCCCCGTTTGCCAGATTGGGCCTGCCAGATTGGCGCCAGATTGGCTTCGACTACCCAGGTTTTGAACAGTTTCCAATACATGTTGATCATTTTTGACCATTTTTGAGCATGTTTAATGCATTCTTGAACATCTTCGGGCATGGGGACTATGTTCTTGCAATGTTGGAGCAATATTAGCGCATTGGCTTGGGTATGTTTTATTTTTCGTCCAAAATCGGCCTGCAGAGGGACAGGCCCGACTTGAGGCTATCCCCAGAGGGCGCTCGACGAGGCGCAGCTGATGAGAGACACGTTTACAGTGGAGACCCATGCCGAGGAACACCCTGCTTGCCTCCAGGCTGCTCTGGGTTTCTTGGGTTTCGATGGTTTTGCGATGGAAAGCGTGCCGTTCCCACACCAAAAATGAACGGACGTCCTGGGGCCTCAGGGTTGGGTTTCTTGTGGAAGGTTTCTTGTGGACTGGCCTCCACTGTAAGGTTAAGTCGGGCCTGTCCCTCTACAGGAGAAATATCTAAACCATAGTCTGGGGACGATTTTTCGATTATCTTTGATTATTTGTGAGTATGTTTTGACTCTTGTTGGTTTTTCGTTCAGGATCCGCCTGCAGGAGGACATGCCCGGCCTGAGTTTACGGGGCATGGTGGTGGGAAAGGGGACAGGCGCAGCGGGGAACCCATCGGCCCATTCACCGCCGATAGGGGCACGATAGCCCACGCTGCCCAGGAGCGCGGTGTGTCGCTGTCGGGGGCCCATCGCCGATCTATCGGAGATGTGTCGCCGATTCCAGGTCGGTGCTTCCTCCCTGAACCGCTCACCCCTCCTAGCCTTCCCCCTCAATGTTTGGACCCTGAAAATTGGGAACCTTCGAACCAACACTCCGAAAATCTCCAGAAGCCTTTTCGCAACGTCGTGGTGTGTTTTAGTCACGACGCTAGGTACGTAGTTGCAGGAGGGACTGTTTCGACTGGCGCTCTGCTGGCAGGTGACCGCTGGCCTGGCATGGATTGGTGTGGCATGCCCAAGTGGCCAGACGTTGTGGTGCAGGTGCTAATGTTTGTTTCCAGGGCAGCGTGAATGTTCTGGACCCGCTGACTATTATCGGGGGTACTGTGGAGGGTACGCTCTGCATCGTGCCGCGGTTCTTCTCCTGTGCGGGCTGGGTTGTTGCCGGTTCTCCCCCGGGGAGGCGGGGAGGAGGGGGGAGAGTGGGTGGAGAGCAGGAGGGCGAGGATGAAGGAGGGCGAGGAAAGGGGGGGGGGGGGAAAGAGGCCGACGCAGAGCGCGAGAGGGAGGAGGAGGAGGAGGAGGAGGAGGAGGAGGAGGAGGAGGAGGAGGAGGAGGAGGAGGAGGAGGAGGAGGAGGAGGAGGAGGAGGAACCGTTGGGTGGTGGCGGGGCGACCCGCGAAGGCGGGCGCACCGACCGAGGGCTCCGTGCGCGCGCGCCCCGCCCGCCCTGCCGCAGCCATTTTGGCTCAACCACCGCGGCTCGCCGCCGCCCGCGCCCCTCCAGGGGCAGCACTAGGGAGGGATAGGCTCAGGGGGGCACGCATCCACCCCCAGTCTCATGATGTTCCAGCCCACTTTCGCCTCGAGCGCCAGAACGCATCCCGAGCACCAAGAGAGAGAGAGAGCACCGAAGCCCGACTGTTTTTGTCACGTGTCGGGCCCCGGGAGACGCTCGTCCGACACTGTTTCGACACTGCCTCGGCGCTCTTTCGACACTTTTCCGGGTGCTCGAACTTACTTCTGGGACGTGGCCCGTAAGCACGATGGGAGCAACATAACCCCAGTCGCCCGTTGATCGCCGGTGGGGGTTTGATAGTCCAGCCCCGCCCCGGAGCGTGCAGGCTCACCGTTGGGAGCCTCTCGCCGATCTGTCAGCGATTCTTGCAAGCCGATGCCTGAAATTCTTCTGCGTCCGAGTGCCCTCCGCCCCCCCCCCCGTCCTTCGCGGCCGCCTGGTCTGTCTTGCTCCCCCTCTTGCACGCTGACCAGTTCGAGCACCGTTGCCCCGGATCGCTGCTCGCTGGTGCAGTTCTGCCTCGCCGCCGACGTCAAAATGTTTGTCCCCTGAGCCTACCCCCCCCCCCCTAACGTTGCCCCTCAGCCCCCCCCCCGCTTCTCTCCTCTGCGCGCGGCGCGGCTCGCAGGCATGGCCTCCGAGGAGGCGAAGAAGGACCGCAAAAGCCGGCTGCTGCCGCGCTCGGGCTGATCGTCAGAGGTGACCCTGTGGCCCCAGGCATCCCGGGCTTGTCGCGCCACTCTGGGCCCCCCCTCCTCCTCCTCCTCCTCCTCCTCCTCTCCTCCTCCTCCTCCTCCTCCTCCCCTCCTCTCCTCCCTCCTCCTCCTCCTCCTCCTCCTCCCCCTCTTCCTCCTCCTCCCAGGGGTACTCTTGTCTGGGCCTCGTAGATGGGGTCGGAGCAGACAGGGTCGGAGGATCGCGCCGCACCGCCGATGCATCGTCGATGCGGCTTGATGTGGGGCCCGATTTGCTTCTCGTCGACGTCACCAATGCATCGCCGACGTCGACGATGCATCGCCAGTGCATCGCCGATACACCGCCGATGCATCGCCGATGTATCGGCGATGCGGCGCGATCCTCCGACCCCATCTAGGGGCCTCTATCCTGGGAGGCCACCTGAGCGACGCAGAAGAAGACAGAGTCGTCTGCGCCGACATTGGCGCGCAAGCGGCCCGCGGAAGGTCGCGCGTAAGCGCCCTCGTATCCACTGTGGCGTGCCGAGACGCTGAGATCCGAACTCGGGCCCCGTCGGGGAGGCCGCTGGTGCACGGAGCCTCGGCGCCGGGGGAGGCGGGTGCCCCGCAGCGGGGGGCTTGGGCAGCGCGCGGGAGCTCGGCACCGCTCGGGCGTGCGATGTTTTTTTTCTCGGCGGGGGCCATCGAGGATCGTCCCGGATCCTCGAGCCCCTCCCCCCCCAAAAAATACGCGCACAGCACAGCAGCATGCACTTTGCCTTCATGCGGAGCATTTTGCTCAGTGCATGTGCACTCCACTCATCGCGTGTAGTTTGCCGTGTTCCGTTGCCCTGAACATCGCTGCTGCCGGCTGACTTTTGCCGCGCGGCCGCCGAACAAAAAACAGAAGCATGCACGGTGAGCGGACGTCCGAGCGATGGCCGGAGAGGGGGCGGCGGGGGAGAGGGCGCCACTCTCTCCGCGCGTGGGCGGTGCAGGGCGGCGGCAGGGGAGCGCCGCCTGCCGGATCATCGGCCAGGGCGTCCGTGTGCGGAGGGCCCAGCAGGGGTGGCGCTGAGAGCTGCGGTCTTCCACGAGGTCGGGTGTCGGGTGTACGGTACCATTTTTATACATGCTTCGCGTGCGGATCATGTATTGAAAATGCAGGGACTCATTAAAACAAGCGATGAGTCCATGCATGAATGTACTCATGAATTACTCATGTATTAAACATCATATATGTTAAAACATCGTATGTATTAAAACCTGCCCTGTACAGTTCTAGGCCTCCCAGATGGGGTCGGAGCAGATGGGGTCGGAGGATCGCGCCGCGTCGCCGATGCGTCGTCGATGCGGCTCGATGTGCAGCCCGCTTTGCTTCACGTCAACGTCGCCGATGCATCGCCGACCTCGACGATGCATCGCCGGTGCATCGCCTGTGCATCGCCGATGCATCGCCGATGCATCGCCGATGTATCGCCGATGTATCGACGATGCGGCGAGATCCACCGACCCAATCTACTCGGACCCCATCTGGGAGGCCTCTAACAGTCGGACCGAGGTATCAGATCGAGGTCGGTTCGGGGAGGGCACCCTACTGGTCTTCGTGCGTGTTCGATGTTCTCGTGCATCCTGGCGAGGGTACCCTCGGACGTTCTGTTCGTGCTGGCCGACGGAGGGTCTCATGTTCCTGAATTCTGTTTTTCTGTCCTAGGTGCGGCTGCGCAGTCAACCCGCATAAGTAAGGGATGGGCAACCTTCCCAAGGCTACCCTTGCATCCTTGCCTCCCCGACCCATCCGTGGCCACGTTCGTTGGCCGCGCCCGGCTCGAAACAGCTTCGGCATATCATGGGCGTCCAAGGCCCTCTGCATCCTCGCCGCGCACCCTTGTGATACGGGCCGACTGTACCCCCGGCGAGCCGATCCAGCCTGCGGGCAGGCGGCAGGAGGCTTCGATCGGGGAGGGGCTCGCCACGGCAGGAGGTTCGCCACGGCAGGAGGAGGAGGAGGAGGAGGAGGAGGAGGAGGAGGAGGAGGAGGAGGAGGAGGGAGGAGGAGGAGGAGGAGGAGGAGGAGGCCCACCAAGACACGGGATGCCTCTCGTCAGGGTGCACATGGTTCCTTCGCCTCGCGCGTTGCGCGGGGATTTTCCGCGGGCGCTGCCGAGCTTCTGCGTCTGGGAGGCTCTGCGTTTTCCCCCGGTTTGCGCGTGGCTCTCGGATTCCCAGGGTCGGAGCTCTTGCGTGGGGTTCTTGCGGCCGCGTCAGCAGAGTAGTTAGGATGCAAATTTTGAGAGGTTCAATTCAGCGTCGGCTTCTTGGAAAATCCGCGATCTAAAATCTGCCTACTCAGGCGCAGTCCCTATTTTATCCAGATGAGTCTGACTTGCTCCGGGGCTTACTCTGGCCTGCCTCGTCGTAATTGCCCCTTTATCGGGCCGGATAGCCCTTCGTTGTTCTTACGAGGGCCTCTCAGAGGTTGCCTCCTAACGGCGGGCGTGGGCACAGACTGCCGTTACACGCCCTCTCATCTCGGGCCCAGGAGTCGCCGGTTCAACGATGGGGGCCTGAGGGATGGGGCCCTAAGGACAAGCAGCATCAAACAGTAAAGGTTCAGTTTGGGATCCCTTCCCCTCGCTTCCCCCTTTCCACTGCGTTGTGTGAACGCGGAGCTTTGTCCCCTGCGATGGCCCGAAGTGGTTGTCGTGCCCGCGCGCCCTGCTGGACGCATGGCCTGAGTGAGTGTGAGTCCCTCAAATCCGACGGTGCAGACAAAACGCACCGTTGCGTCTCCTGCACCTCTCAGCAGGGGAATGCAGCTTCAGGACAATGCGCAGATACACATTTGAGGGAGATGTATCTTTCGATACGTCTCAAACGCTCCCAGCGTCTCCATTGAGTACGAAAAACCTCATGAAGCAATGAATGACCCCCCTTCCGGTGAAACGACAACACATCCAGCACACGGAAGCGTGATCCTTGCACCTTAAGAAGGAGAGGAGGAGGAGGAGGAAGAGGAGAAGGAGGAGGAGGACAAGGAGGAGGAGGAGGAGCAGGAGGAGGAGGACGACGACAGGGAGGAGGAGTAGGAGGAGGAGGATCAGGACAGGGAGAAGGAGGGCAATATTTACTAGTTATAGCTGGCGGTCGCGGGGGCGGGGAACAATATCGCTGCTGAAGATATCGCTCAGCTAAATCCGCCCCCGCGAATTATTTGTTATCGTCTCGGTGCTAGCGATAACGAAGGGGGTGTTCTGAATCGCTTCATGAGGTTACAAACCAGAGCATTGATTGACTTCGTCTGGCGGTGATGACTGCGGACAAAAACATAGCAGCACAATCACTGTTGGAGCCCCCGGCCCCCTCTTCCTGCGTCATCCTCCGAGCCGGATTGCTCTGTGAGGGACCCGGGGCCCGAAGCAGGGCAAAGAAGCGGCCAGCGCGAGCAAGTCGCAGCGCCAGTATCTTAGGGGCCCCGTCAGGGCCCCACATGGGGCGCTCCAAAATGGGCCCCTTGCATGCGAGGATCGAAGGAGCTGCCCCCTCCTCCGCGGCGGAAAGGGCGGCGGAGGGTCGGCGGAAGCACAGCGAGGCCGCCTCCGCCGGCGGAGGCCAGCGGGAGGCCGGCGGAAGGTGGCGGAAGTAGAACGTGCGCCCCCAAGAGAGGAACACGCTTCTCCTCCTCCTCCTTCTCCTCCTCCTCCTCCTCCTCCTCCTCGTCCTCGTCCTCCTCCTCGTCCTCCTCCGCCTCCTCCTCCTCCTCCTCCTTCTCCTCCTCCTCCTCGTCCTCGTCCTCGTCCTCGTCCTCCCCCTCTTCCTCCTTTGGGTTCAAGGGATCCGAAATCGGTAACATGTCGCCGCGCCTTTTTGTTTCCAGTGCGCGGCCTTCTGTCTTGGGGAGGGCGCCGCAGCCACTGGGGCAAACGCCGCCCGGGGCGCGCTCGGTTTGCCGTGGGTTGGCCTGGGGGCCAGCTGCGTCTGCTTGGGCGCGGGACGCAGGGCCTGCCGTGGGTTTGCCGTGGTGTCGGTTCCGTCTACCTGGGCGCGTTCAGAACAAACGGCGAGGTGACATTTCGGATCCAGTGGAGGAGGGCCCGTGCACGAGGGTCCTTTCGGGCCGGGCGAAAGGGGGGGATTGGGAAAGGGGGGGTTACGAAATTTGCTGCATGCAGCTGGTTTCGGCCTCACAGAGGGGCCCATTCCTCGATACATGGGCGCCTCCGGCGCCGGGAGGCGCCGGGGAAATCAGCTACGCGAGCTGATTCTCAAACCCCCCCTTTGCTATCCCCCCCTTTCGCCCGACCCGATCCAGTGAAGGAGAGCCCGTGCACGAGGGTCCTTGAAAGTAGGTGTTCCTGGATTCCCAGGCCCCACTCTGTTTCAAGCGCCCTCCTCCTTCGGACATCGAGCTGCGTCTGCTATGTCCTCTTGTTCTCTGGGAGGGCCTGGAGCCTGTCTGCTCCCTTCCCGCCTTCCCGCTTCCTGCTTTTGCCTGCCCCTTCCGGCCGACGTGTGTTTGGACCGCTGCAGGAGGGCCCGTGCGCACCTTGTCCAGGGGGCCCGGGGCGGGGCCGGCCATGCGGCGGGGCGTGCGGCGGAGCTGCCAGCCTCCCCCCCGCCAGAAGAGCAGGAGCCGGCCGCGGACGTCGAGATGAAGGAGGAGGCGAAAGAGGAGGCCAAGGAAGAGGTCAAGGATCGACTAGACGTAAGAGGGACCCCTCGCCGGAGTGACCCGTGGTGCGGGCCCACTGGGGTCCCCCGATGGCGGAGCGGGTAGCAGCGTCTTGCGCGCTCGTGTTTGGCCCCACCGCGGCCCCCTGTAGAAGCCGCGCACCACATGTCACTCTTGCCCAGGGTCACTCTTGCGTGTAGCCGAAAGGAAGAGGCCAAGGAAGAGGCCAAGGAAGAGGCCAAGGAGGAGGCCAAGGAGGACCGAGAAGGGAAAATGGGTGTGAATGATAATCTTTCGCCGCTCCGCGCGGATGTCTTGGATCTCCCCCTGGTCTCCCTGGCGGCGCCTCTGGCGCCTTCCTTGGCGCGCTCCGCGCGCCAAGGAGGGGGTCCCGCGCAGATTCAGGAAACCCGAGCGGACCTTCGAAAGTTCATGCATCTGCCGTTTTCCTTTTTCTAAAAAGGGTGAGCCCAAAGAGGAGGCAAAGGAGGAGGCCCGCCTCTTGCCTCTCCGCTCCCCAGTGGTCCAGCGATGATGGTGCAGGGCCGCATATGATTACAGCCAGCACGTCGGGCGGCACGAGCAGCATGCGAGCCAGCCACCGTATGTTGAGCAGAGCGATGGCGCGCCGCATCCCTCCCAAGGGATGTCGCCGATGACTGGCGGTGACGCCCGCCGGCGAGGGTACACGCTGCGGGAGTTTGATGTTATTGCGGGTTCGTCGTGCGTGTATTGTTTGTGTGTGTGTGTGTGTGTGTTGTCTTCTTTCTCTCCTCGTGCACGGGGAAGTTCGCCTTTCGGTTGCCCCGATGAGCCTCACGCTGGTGCGCACTGCCTCTACGCCGCCGCCGACGAGAAAGATTTCAGTGTGATGCAAGGCTAAGGTACTAAAGGCCTGTGTGCTCCTGCGTCTTGCATGTAGCGCTTTCCACAGCGTGGAGACGGCGGGCGCGCACGCCGCTGTTCGCGAGCGCTTGCGCGACGAGCTGGCGCCCAAGCCCGCGATCGGACAGCCGCTGATTGTAAACATGCTTGCGCGCGTGCCTGACAAAGCGCGCGGGTTGTTCGTCGTCGCGCGGGTGCGTCATGCATGCATCGGCATGCATGCATCGTGTACTGCACCTTGTTCCACGCAACTGCCGGTGGCTCGTGCCGCTCGCCAGGGACAGGACGACGGAGGCGTTGCCAGAGGCTCCTGGGACTCGGCGTTGCCAGAGGCTCCTGGGACTGACCCCTCCCTCCTCGTGCTCGCTATGTCGAATGTCTGTGCCGCGGAACTCCCGGAGGGGGATGCGGATCGCCGGGCCGTTGTGGCCCCGGCCTCCGCGAGGCGACGGGGCCGGCGAAGGCCCGATTCCCGCGAGGGCCCCGCGTGAGGCCCGCCGCCCCCCGCCGCCCGAGAAGCGGCCCCTGCTTCCGAGGGGCTCCCCCCGGGGAAGCCCGCGGCCGACCCCACGGGTGAGGGGGCCCACGTCGCTGCCTCCGCAGGAGCCTGCCCCTCCTGCGCTCCTGCCTCCCTTCCGCCTCCCTCGCCTCCGCCTCTCGGCATCGTTTCATTAACCGATCCCCATCCCCATCTCCGTCCCCTTCGAGACCCCCACCGAATTGCCACCCCAGTTGGGGATACACCCCTCGAAACCCGAAGAGAACGGCCTGTACCCCATCAAGGGGGGGTAAATCGGCCAGCGGGGCCCAGGCCACGCCGCTGGGGATGGGGATCGGCTAAACGCTACTCCACCTCGCCCCGCGTCGACCGAGGCCCAACGATGCAGGCTCCACGCAGGAAGCAGATTCGAAGCCCGACGCAGGAAGCACCTGCGACGGGCCCCGTGGGCCGAGCGCCGCTGCCACATGCAGTTGGATTCGGACCGCGGTTCCACCGCATGGGCCAGCTTGTGAGGGACACAAGCCGGCCCATCCCCGCCCAGGCCCCCAAGTGGCCTGGCGATAAATAAGAGGACTTCTGTGGACAGACGCTGCGATCGTTCGTCTCCCTCCGCGCTCTCGTCCTTCATCATTGCTCCTGGTAGATCGGTCCTTCCTGCCGCAGCCCCAGACGTGTCGGTAGGGCGGGCCGGGCGTGTCGTTCAAGATTGCCTCACCATGTATCCTAAACTTCGAAACTTGCAACGCTTTCAAGGAGCAGGGCGGCTTGTGTTCAAAATGTGGCTGTCGCCGTTGCGCTTTTCACATTGGTTTTATAAGCTTGCACCAGCTTCAAGGATGGAGAGCGTTCCCGTTTCTGTTTTGAGAAGCTGGTTTTCGCTTGAACGCCGCGCACATTTGTTTAAAGAGCTTACTGCAATTTCAAGGATTTGCACGGTTGATGACGCAGGAGTGGCGTTCTGCCACGACAGGGGGCTGTCAGGGTTCAGCCGTCAAATGGATTCGCGGTGTCTAAATCTTTGGAATGGCATTCTGACGCGAATTTGGGTTGTTAAGACGCAACAGGGACGTTGATTCGCGGCGTTGAAGTCCCAGGAATGGTGTTTCGGCAAAATTGCCATGGAGCAGATGCTTGTAGGGACTTATCGTGAGGAGAACTTGAAGGCAGGGTGTATTGCGAATCGTCTCGTGCGTCTTGGCTTCCCTCCCGTTCCTGTTCCTCCCCGGCCAGGCCGCACTGGAGGAGGCGCCCTTCCCCAGAGGCCGTCTCCGCGGGGGCCGTCGCGAGGGCGCGAGGGCGATCGCGCGGCCACACGAGCACGACGGGGCGAAGGTCCCCGACCGCCTCGCGCCGCGACGGGGGCCGTCGCGAGGGCGCGAGGGCGATCGCGCGGGCGTGCGAGCACAACGGGGCGAAGGTCCCCGACCGCCTCGCGCCGCGACGGGGGCCGTCGCGAGGGCGCGAGGGCGATCGCGCGGCCGCGCGAGCACGGCGGGGGCGAAGGCCCCCGACGGCCTCGCGCCGCGACGGAGGTCGCGACGCCAGCGTGCCCGCCGCTCTTCTCGGCCTCCAGGGGGCCTTGGGCCCTGGGAGGCCGGCAAGAGGCGGCCCCGGGGCCGAGGCGGCCGAGACGTCTCGGAGAAGCCGCGCTGCGACTTCTCAACGTCCAGAAGACATGTTAGGACTAAGTTTGGGCTACGTTTGGACTATTTTGGGATCACGTTTCGACCAGTGTTGGACCATTTGTCGATTATGTTTGGACTACGTCTGGGCTAAGTTTGGACTGTGCTTCGACTATTTTTGGGCTGGGTTTGGACTATGTCTGGATGATTTTTGGACTAAATTTGGACGAAGTTTGGACTGTGCTTCGACTATTTTTGGATTGTGTTTGGACCATCTTTGGACTGGTTCGTCCCCGGGAAGGGGCCCCGATCTCTGATCGAGCCGCGCTGCGGCGCGGGGCGCGCGGAGCCGGAGGCGCCCTTCCTCGGGCAGGCCCGCGATCGGAGGTGCCCGCTCCGGAGCAGAGCCCTCCTGGAGAGCGCTCGCGGAGCGTGCCGGGGCGCTCTCGTGGACGGCCGCGGCGCCCGATGCACATTCGGGGGCGGAAAAGAGGGGGGTGATGACTAGGGGGGGGGGATATCATGGCGGGGGGCGTGATATTTCCTCCGATTTCAGGGCGCCGCTTCTTATTTCTTTACGTCCCCGCCCCCCCCCGCTGGGCCGCGCACATGCCGCCGGCCATGATTTGCACCCCCCCTCTTGGACACCCCCCTCTTGGCCGCTCCCGGTACATCCTCCAGACCCGCCGACCCTCAGAGATTGCTAACGTTGGGAGGCCACATGTGAACCCTACCCCACCACCCCACGATTTCGAAGGAGGGAGGTGGTGTTCGCTTCGCTCGGGGCCTCTGGAGCGAAGTGCACCCCACCTCTCCTCTTAGAGATCGTGGAGTGGTGGGGTAGGGTTCGCATGCGACCTCCTAAATTTATCCGTGCCCGATGCTGTCCCGATCCTGGCTTCATTGTACGCCCGGGGCATCAGCGGGCTGCCAGCGTGCGCGAGGCCAAGGAGCCCGAGAAGCCCAAGGAGCCCGAGAAGCCCAAGGAGCTCGAGGAGGACGCCCCAGAGGACACGAGGCCGCCCCCCTTCCATGCCGGTCTCCACTTGTCCCCCCCTCCCTCCTCCGCATCTCCGCCCAGGCCCTCCCCTCCCGCTCCGATCCCCTCCTCACTCATGCTCCTCCGTCCTGCGCGTGCTCCTGCGCGTCGAGGAGCACAACGCCCTGCAGCGTCCACGAAGCGCTCCAGAAGTCGCCGCGTCTAGAGGAGGAGGAGGAGGAAGAGGAGGAGGGGTAGGAGGAATATGTTGTATTGGGCACATCGAGGGAGCATGGGAATCGGCGACACACGGGTAATGTAGCGCGACTTGTTGTTGTTGTTGCTGTTGCGGTTGTTTGTTGTTGTTGTTGTTGTTGTTGTTGTTGTTGTTGTTGTTGCTGGCGTTGTTGCTGTTGTTGTTGCTGCTGTTGTGGTTGTGGTTGTGGTTGTGGTTGTTGTTGTTGTTGTTGTTGTTGTTGTTGTTGTTGTTGTGGTAGTGGTGGTGGTGGTGGTGGTGGTTGTTGGTGGTGGTGGTGTTGTTGTTGTTGGTGTTGCTGTTGTCGTTGTTGTCGTTGTTGTCGTTGTTGTTGTTGGTGTTGTTGTTGTTGTTGTTGTGGTTGTTATTGTTGATGTTGTTGTTGTTGTTGTTGTTGTTGTTGTTGTTGTTGTTGTTGTTGAACATTATTTATTCTGAAGAATAATTATTGTTGGGACCCCTGGTGCGCGGCCCCCTCGCCGCGCCTAGGCCGCAGCCACATTTTCATCATTTTCGTGAGGAAGTCTCAGGCAAAACGTGGGTGTCCGGATCCGGTTGTTTTGTTGTCCCCCGTTTTCCCTTGCAAAAAATAAGCTAAAGTGGACATTTCTTGTTCTAACATAACCAAATTTCAAGAATCCCTTGCAACAAATAAGGTAAAGTGGACATTCGCGCGCGCAAGACGAAATCCTTCCAAAACCTTAGTTTTCGTAGCGATTTTAACATAAAAACATCAAAAAACCAATGGTTTTTCAAAAACAAAATGTCAAAATTTCATCCCGCGCGCTCTTGCGGATTCGTAGGAAACCCAACACTTTTTTAATCATTTCTGTCAAACGGGCTTTTGCGAGCAACTATTTCGAACTTCTGCAACAACGGTTGCGCACCTGCCAGGGCCATCATCCCTGTCAAATAATACCATGCGGGACACATTCGTTTTTTCTTCGCGCGCGCACGCCGTCGTCGTCGGCCGCGGGGCCCTGAATAGTAGCCACGGTCGTCCGCATGCCACGAAGTGAAGTGTCCGAACGTCATAGGGCGGGAAGCTGGGTGTGGGTGGTGGCGAAGAGTCGTTTGGAAATTTGGTAGAGCTTGAACCGGCCCCCCCACAAAGTGGGGGTATTGCCCGCCTCCTATGAAAACCCTGGCACTGGTGAGAACGGAGTGTCCCCACGTGCTAGTAACTGTTGTTGTTGTTGTTGTTGTTGTTGTTGTTGTTGTTGTTGTTGTTGCTGTTGTTGTTGTCCCTCTCTCTCACCCACACACACATCTGCGCGCAGCGGTGAACAACGTCTGGCCCTTGTCCAGAGGTTCGCGCAGGTCAGTTCAAAGAAGCAGCATCTGCAACTCTGTGCGCAGATATTCCCGTCCAAGGAGCATGCGCCAGTGCAGGCGTAGGTGTTGCATGTGGGCATGACAACGCGCTGAACGATGTTGTGACGGAGGCAGGACATGTTCGCCCCACCGCGGGCGGTGCAGGACTACGAAACGAGGTAATTACGCGTCCAGTTGTGTGCGTCATATCAATACAGAGAGGTCCCGTCCTCTTATTGGCCTTCGGGTCAGCTTACTCTGTGCTGCAGGAGTCAAGGGCTACAGCCGATCACCAGGTGATAGAACCCCCGCCCGGCCAAGTCTCGTAGCGAGTCCGCCCGTGGCGTCTGTTGTTCCCCGAAGCAGTGCTTGCATTTAGGGGTGCTCTCTCTGCTTCCCTGAGGAACCGGACGGGTACGCCAGCGTTTCGGCGGCTGCCCGCTCGATGGGCGCCTCGTGGGCGCCCCGCGTGGGGGGGGGAGGTACGCCGACTGGCGCCTGCCAGCGCGGGCGCCTTCTGGGTCCTCGCGGGCCCCGCGCCGGGGGCGGAGGAGGAGGAGGAGGAGGAGGAGGAGGAGGAGGAGGAGGAGGAGGAGGAGGCAGGAGAAGGAGGAGGAGGGAGGGAGAGGAGGAGGAGGGAGGAGGAGGGGGAGAAGGAGGCAGGGGAGGAGGAGGAGGAGGAGGAGGAGGGAGGAGGAGGAGGAGGAGGAGGAGGGAGGGAGGGGGGCGTCGCCCCGTGCCCGCCCGCGTGGGCCCCCCGTGGGCGCCAGGCCGCTGGGCGGGTCTGCCGAGGCTTCGCCGCCCGTGGGCGCGCTCCGCGCCCGGGGCTTCGCCGGGTGCCCGCCGGCGTGGGCGCGTCGCTGTGGCGTTCGTTGGCGCCCCTTCGCTCCTCCTCCTGCCTCCTCCTCCTCCTCCTCCTGCCGCTCGCCGCGCCTCGAGGCTCCCCCGATGCCTCGTGGGCGGCGCGCCTTGAGGCTCCCCCGATGCCTCGTGGGCGGCGCGGGGCCGCAGCGCCGCTGATCGACAGACGAGCGCTCTCCCCAGCGTGTCGTTTGCTCCTCCTCCTCCTGCCTCCTCCTCCTCCTCCTCCTGCCTCCTCGTCCTCCTCCTCCTGCCTCCTGCCTCCTCCTCCTCCTCCTCCTCCTCCTCCTCCTGCCTCCTGCCTCCTTCTCCTCCTCCTCCTCGTCCTCCTCCTCCTCCTCCTCCTTCCTCATCCTCGTGGGGAACGGCAGGGATTTGCCCGGTGCCGGCCCATGTGGGCCTCTCGTGGGCGCGCCCCGCGCTGGGCTGGGGGGGGGGAGCCTCGAGGTGTCGCCCGGTTTCCGCCCTGGGGCGCCTCCTGGGCGCCCCGCGCCGGAGAGTTTGCGGAGGTTTCGCCCAGAGCTCGCCCGCGGGCGTCTCGTGGGCGCGCCGCCATAACTTGCACCACTCGGATTGCACCGCGTGGATTCAGCAACGCTGGCGTGCATCACATGGTTTGCACAACCAAGAGCTTGCACCACCTAGCTTGCACCGCATAGTTTGCGCCACCCACCCCGCACTGGATAGCTTGCATCGCTGAGCTTGTACCACATAGTTTGCGCCACATCGCTTGCATCGCGCAGATACTGAAACGTAGATAGCACACCATAGCTGGCACCATATAGCTTTCACCACGTAGCTTGCGCCGCATATATTGCACCATATATTTACACAACACCGCTTGCACATCCAAAGTGTAATAACATTACGGGGTCCACGCTGGCTAGTTGGAAGGGTGTTGCGTGCGCCACTTCTGTTGGCCTGCGTCCGCGTGGATTGGTCCCAGAGTTGTTTTCGCCAGAGGATGTTTTGCAATCTGGGGCACTATCCACCGCCGAGGGGTGAAGGAGAAGGAGGGAGGAAGAGAGCGGAGGAGGAGAAGGGAGGAGGGACTCGGAACTCCGATGTCCGCGAAACGCCTCCGCCGGCTCGCGCTGCGCCTTGCAGCTAATTAGGCTTGCCCGTCGGCCCGGACACCCTGTTCGCCGCCTGCGCTTTCGCTCGCGGCCGCGACCAAAAAAGAAACGCCTCCGCTAGGGAAATGTTGCCAGGGGGGTGCAAAACGCGGAGCCGCTTACAGACCAGGAAAGGCCCTCTCGGCGTGGGCAGGATGGCCGCGTCTTTGGACGGAAGGGCGTCGGAACGGTACGAAAGCACACTGTCAGCCCGATCGCCAGCGCAGGCTGGGGGCACTTGACGCCCCTGCCTCGAGTGGGAGGAGGACCGGTACGATCGAAATGAGTATGGACAAACATGGGTACGAATACCAGCAGCAGCGCCTACTCATGTTGAAAAGGCTCGCGGTCAGTGCCGCCGCGGACGTTGTCCATTCGAGTCAGAAGGCCGCTTGCCCAACAGCGGAGGCTGGCCGTTTTGGACAACCTGTGTGGTTGGGCATCGTACCTGCAGTCAACCCGCACAGGAAGGAGGAGCAACTTTCCGAGGATACCCCTGCATCCTTCCCCTTCGGCCCATCCTCGGCTGCTTTCGCTGGCTCGGGTATAGCCAGGACCCCAGTTAAGGGGAGCCGGTTAGTGATTGGGCCCCGAAGCCCAAAATATGGACTGGAATCACTAAACCAGGCTGGTGTTTTCGGGTGACGGCAGTTCCGGTTAGTGTCCCGCTAAACCCAGTCCTGCCAACGCCCGACTCGCCGCCACCGCCCGACTGGCCGCGCCCCGCTCGCAGAGTGCCGACATGGCCCCCCGAGGCCCCTGCCTCCTCGTCGTGCGTCCTCAGTCTGTCGGGGGCCCCCGCACGGCGTCGTGACCACACCGCGCGGTCAGTCGGTGGGGGGTCGGGGTCGCCGCACGGTTTCGGGCTCCGGGTCCTCCTCCGAGGACGTCTCGGGCGACGGGGGCCTCCGGGGCCCCAAAATCCGTGCGCTGGCGCAGCGTGCGGCGAGGTCTTCGGGGGGCCTCGAGGGCACCGCGCGGTCTGCCGCCGCGCCGCCTCGGGGCTCCGAGGCCTGCGGGCGGGCGGTGGTCGCGCGTGCTCCCGGCTGCGCCCGACCTCGGCCGCCGCCTGCGCTCGCGCCGGGTGTCGCGGGCTCTCCTGCCGCCGCCCCCGCAGGCCGCAGGTGGACGCCAGCGCGGTGGCCGTCAGCGCCGTGGACACGACGCTCAACGTGCCCCCCCGGGGGGGCGCGCCGAGCCCAGCCCCGCGGCGCCGCGTGGGTTCTTGTTGCCCCCGTGCCCGGAGAGTCGGGTTCTGGCTGTCGGTGTGATGCCTCCTCCTCCTCCTCCTGCTCCTCCTCCACCTCCTCCTCCGCCTCCTCCCCCTCCACCTCCACCTCTTCCTCCTCCTCCCCCTCCACCTCCTCCTCGTCAACTCCCTCCAGGTCCCTCCCCCCCTTGCCCCGATTCAGGCCACTCGCGCCCAGGCTCGATCAGACTCAGACTCACTTGAATGCAGACTCCCTAATATGCAGGGCAGGTCACTCATGCTCAGACTCACTCGCTCCCACACTCATTCATATGTTTGACTCAGACGTAGCCATACGCACCGCTCCCACTCAGGCTCACTGATGCGCAGATTCACTGACACCCGGGCTCAAAACCAGTCAGGACACGCATACTGGGACACACAGACTCGCTTATATTCAGACTCGTTCACATCCACGCTTAATCACACTCGGGACACGCGTGCCCAGCATTATTCAAACACGAGCTCCACCAGACTCATTTTCACCCACGCGCAGACTCATTCACACTGATATCTCTCATACCTAAACTCACACACGCTCAGACACACTCTCATTTGGACTCACTCATACTCAACCTTCGTCACACTCAGCACTCACCGCAGCAGGCATGGCATTGGGGCACTCCAAGGGGCGTGGTTGGCCAGGGAGTGGTCCACGAGCCTGTACGCGCCCAGATTGTGCAGGGCCTCCTGAGCGAAGCGCCAGTGCTGAGAAGTACGCGCGTTTATTTTCAAAGCTCACTGACCACCGCGATTCAGCAGGCATGGTCCTTGGGCCGCCCAATTGGGGTGGGGATCGACCAGATGTGGTCCACATCCAAAGTGTGGGGAGGTGGGCGCTCTTTTTCCCGCAGTCCCATAATCACCGCTACGTAGAAACCATGACACGTGGGCCACGCAAGAGGGTGTTGACCAGAGCTGTTCCCCGGGCCCCTTCGCAACCAGCTTGCGGCGATCTCTCAAGCGAGACGCTTGTTTGGGGAAGTGAGCGAGTTTCGGCTCACCGCACTATGGCCACCATGACGTACTCCAGATTTCGTAATAAAAGGGAGGGGGTCTCATTTCGGGGGGGGTCTCTTCCAGGCTATCTTGGAGGGCCTGGGGGGGTCTGGGGACGGAGTTTTGGAGGGTTCTCCCACGGGGGGGGGGTCTGAAATGGCTTGTCTTGGAGGGTCCAGACCCCCTCCCTTTTACTACGAAATCTGGAGTAGCAGTTCTCGCTCCCAGATTGTGGGGACGCGCCAGGCGAAAAGCGCGAGCGTTGGGAAGCCGATGCGCTGCGCTGCGCAGAGCGCAGTGACCGCCGCGATTGCAGCAGGCATCGCGCTCGGGCCGGCCAGAGCGGTGCTCGACGAGAGGTGCTCCACGGGCCCGTCCGCGCCCAGGAAGAGGAGCAGGAGGAGGAGGAGGAGGAGGAGGAGGAGGAGGAGGAGGAGGAGGAGGAGCAGGAGGAGGAGGCAGGAGGAGGAGGAGGAGGAGGAGGAGGAGGAGGAGGAGGAGGAGGAGGGGAGGAGGGAGGAGAGCAGGAGGAGGCAGGAGGAGGAGGAGGAGCAGGAGGAACAGCAAGGAGGAGGAGGAGGAGGACGAGCAGGAGGAGGAGCAGAAGGAGGAGAAGCAGGAGATGGCGGGGACGGCTTACAGTGGAGACCCATGCCAAGAGACGCCCCGCTTGCCTCCAGGGTGCCCTGAGTTTCCTGGGTGTTCGCTGGCTCTGCGGTGGAGAGCGTGGCGTCACCCCACACCAGAAGTCCGTGGACGTCCTGGGGTCTCGGGGTGGGGCTTCTCGTTGAATGGTCTTGTGGACGAGCCCCTACACTCTCGGCGATACTTAAGAAAACCCAAGTTTTCGGCAAGAGTCTGAATTATTCTTAATGTTTCAATGTAAATCCCAAGATTTTAATAGACATTCGGGGTTTTCATTCAGATTCTGAGACTATGAATTTCTTAACCCATGATTTCTAAAGCATTTCGCAGGGTGTACTGTGGGCGAAACGCCTGTCTTTGAAGTAGATTGCGGCTCCCCCCGCGGCGACCCAGCTTGCACGGCACTCCTGCCGCCAGGGGCTTCTCGGCCAGGTGCTGCGCGGCCCCGTCGCGCCCAGGCTGCGAGGATTACCAGCCTCGAACTCATCCCTGCCCCTGAGATTGACACGCCAAGAGGCGATGACAATCTCAGGGATGCGCCCTCAAACAGCAAGGGAATCCCCAAGATTGGCGTCGTGATGAGGAGATGCCCAGCATAGGGATAGGGATAATGGAGGATGACGATAGATAAATGACCGGGGGTCGTGTTCACGCGGCGGCGCCCGGGATGACGATTAGAACGAACCGGCCGCGGGCTGGCAAACTATTTTTTTAATCGTTCTCCCCCAGTCAGAACATTGTGCAGAAATAGCAGAAAACTATGTTTTTAATCGTGCTCCCCATATGTGGGGGGGTTACGAAATGTGCTGCATGCAGCTGGTTTCGGCCCCACCGAGGGGCCCATTCCTTGATACATAGCCGCCTCCGGCGCCGGGAGGCGCCGGGAAAATCAGCTACGAGAGCTGATTCTCAAACCCCCCCTTTGCTATCCCCCCCTTTCGCCCGACCCGATTATGGCTCAAAGGCGACGCCTATGGCCCCAATATTACCCAACGCGGCTCCATTCTGAAACCAGTACCGTGCGGCCACGTTCGTCGGGGCTTCCTTCCTGGGGAGGGGAAGTCCTCATTGGCTCCGGGTCGCGCTACGTCGAGGCCAACTGGCCCAAGGACGGACAAGTTCCAGGTGCCAGATGCAAATGTTCTAGGTGACCCCTCCCGCTCCTGCCCAGGGTTCTCCTGCCCCCCCGATGCGTGCACGTTCGAGCCCGCCCACTTCCGCACTCTCTCAGATCCATTCATGCGCACTCAGGCTCGCTCGCACCCCGCGCCATCCACCTGTGTGCGGTCCTTCGCGGACGCGCTCGGTCGTTCCCCCTCTTATCCATAGCATCTATACCCAGGCGCACAAATACTGAGATATTCTATCTCACTCGCTCACGCTCAACGCACTCACACCCAGACCCATTCGTCCTCACACCCACTCACACCCAGACGCGTTCATACCCAGAGTCGCTCAGGTCCAGCCGCCGAGTTTGACACAGTCCCGCCCAGCGTGGCGGGGGGGGGTGCCGTAGCCCCCGCCGCTCCCCCAGGTGGGAATGGAGTTGTGCTGCGCCGTCTCTGTCGTCGTAGACGTCGTCGTAGACACCGTCGTCGTCGTCGTCGTCGTCGTCGTCGTCGTCGTCGTCGTCGTCGTCGTCTTCGTCGTCGTCGTCGTCGTCGTCGTCGTCGTCGTCGTCGTCGTCCCCCCCCATCCCATCTGGAGGGCGGGGCGGGCTGCGGAGCCCTGGGGCCCATACCCGTCTGGGGGGGCGGTCCGTGACCCCTCGACCCGGCAGCCTGTGTGCACGCATCGGGGTCCTCGCGCCAAAGCGTTTTATGTGTGTTCTCCCCCGAGGTTCGGCGTCTCCAAGGGGGCCTGGTGTCCCTCGGACGTGTGCACCTTGTCTCGGCGGGGATTACTAAGGAGCATCTTCCCTGAGGTTCGGCGTCTCCACGGGGGCCTGGTGTCCCTCGGACGTGTGCACTCTTTCTCGGCGGAGACTCTTAAGGAGCATCCTGGATCATCCCTGCGAAAAAGCCACGCACGAGGCCGAGCGAAGGGGGGCACGCGACGCGGCACGACGTCGGAGGCAGGAGCTGCCCGCGGGCGGAGAGAGAGCGAGAGAGAGAGAGAGGCACCCGGCACGTCCTGCGCACGGTTTCTCGCCTCGCTTGTCTCGTGCTCTGCGCTGTGCCCCACTCGCCACCCACCAAGCCACCCCAGCCTGACCCGAAGGCCCAACTTCCTCCATTTCCGGTGGGGGGAGGTCGGGGAACACTGACAAAACATGCACACACACACACACACACATGGAACCCGTGCCCCCCAAACCCGTAATTTGGGTCTTCGGGCTAGGTTGGGGTGGCCTCGTAGGTGGTCGCCCTCCGCTTGCCGACTGGCGCCCGACTGTCTTGGACCTTGTGGCGCCCGCGGGCTTGAAGAGCTGGCGCTTCAGCCGCCACCGCTGGGCACTGTCCGAGATGATGGTCGGGATGTTGCTGGAGGGTTTGTGTCCACCAGCGCCTCCAGGGGCACATTCAGGGGACAGGTTGAGCATGGCCATCTTCTGGCTCGCAGTTGCTTGCAGGCACCAAAACATAAAGGAAACGTAAGACTCGAGTAAGCCAGAACTCGGGTTTGCCGACTTTTTTTGACGAGCGCGTCCTGGATTTTGGCGGTCCCGTTTTCGTGGGATGTCTGCAGCGGGAGCCCGCGTCAAATTTCAGATTGGGTCTCGTCATCTGTATGATGGCCCCCGTCAGGCCAACCCGAGTCTCCCGTACCCGAGTCTTACGTTTCCCCGAAACCAGCGTCTCAGTCGACTGCCAAGAGAGCCGACATGAATCGGGACAGACGCATCCAACTCAGACGCTGACTGGCAGCAGATCGGCTTCGCAGCGAAGTTTTCCAGTTTCGTGCCAGACGTCGTCTGCACAACAGCAGTCGCTCTGGATTTCGGGCAGCAGCTGCTGATTGTCGGCGGCACGCCCGGGTGGAAATGCGAAGGGGCTGACCTCCTCACGAGGCTGGGAAGTCCCCAGCCTTCTGAGAAGTTGTCTAAGCCTTTCCCGAAGAGAAGACACAGGAGATTTCTCAGACAGCGCGAGTGCTTCTGAGAATTCCCGCCGCCTTCTGAGAAGGCCTTCTTCTTCTTGTCACTTGCACCCCTCGCTCGCCGCCGACATTGGCGTCGCTACCCACCCCCCAGCGTGCCAACCCTTCCTCGGCGCTGAGCGGACGCGGCGGGGCAGGCCCAGGGACTTACCATCTCCAGGTAGCTCTTCTCGGCCTTCG